GTGTGGCTAACTGATCGGGTGTTGTAAACTTTCATTGAACATTTCATTTTCAGTAATGACCGAAATGACATGCCATGTTCATCACTTTTTTGCTCTTTGGCAATGATGAAATTTCTCTCGTACAGTGGAACCCCGTTAATACGACCACCGTTGGGCCATAAAATCCTGGTCGTAATAACGAGGTGGTCGCATTAACGGGGTCTTCAAAATAATAAAATGAGTCAATGTTTTTTACTTTTGGTTTGAAAGAATATGGCCATAATAACGAGGTGGTCTTATAAACGGGGTGGTCGTAAGGCGGGGTTCCACTGTACTCGAATCTAGGCCCTTAATTTTTGTGTATTTATATACATGTACTCAATCAATTCAGAAACAAATTGTCATTAATACCATATATAAAATAAAATATCCTGAAGAATACTTGACTGTCAATAAAGTAGGAAGTTAAAAACTTGTCACGAGGAAATCCTGCTTCATGTAGATGTAATTGCCTCCGCATTTCTTAAGCAAGCAAGAAAAAATAATTCCTAGGTACCCCCCTTTGTTAAATTGTCTATCACAATTTAAGCTTAACTTGCAATGATGATCTTCCTTGGCTAAACTTGCTTCACAATATCATGTTTGAATCCTGCAGTCACAAGGACATATACAAGGTGAGCATTTTTGATTGGCTAGTTTGTTACACAGTTTAATGTGATTAGTCTGATTTGAATTAAGCGTTGACAGGCCAAACACGACTAATATATACCGGTATATAGCTTGTGAGACGGGAGATTGAGCTTTTGATAGTGCAATTAACGTGACCGAAGAGTCAGCTTGAACAACAGTGCTTTTTCTTGCTCTCTTTTTGCGTAGTTTATGCAGTGCATGGATATACTCTAACTGAGCAAATTTTATTTTACCACTTTGAGTCTCACATTTAGAGGTTGAGGAAGCTGGTCTGTTCCATGCATATCAAGCAATTAGTTCCTATGGTTTATGTTTCTGCAGATGTTTTCTGACAGGATTTGATCACAAATGCAGTTTACCACGAAATGATTTTCTTTTACCTCTGTTTAATACAGTGGCCCACAGGGAACATGCTGCAAATAAAAAAGTTCCTGCAAATAAAAAGTAGTTGCTGCAACTAAAACATAATTGCAGCAAATAAAAAATATTTGCTGCAAATTAAGTGACAGGAAAGTATATGCGCACGCACTTATGGGAAGAGGGGGACTCAGTATAGTTGTATTCAGGGCCCACTCACGAAATGCTTGGCCTAATCCTCAGTGACACAAAACTTATTTGAGTCCAATGGAAACAATTATCTTCAAATCCATGGAGTTGCATTGGGCATAAATACAGCAGTATCCTTTGCAAATATCTACAACGCGGAGACTGAAACAAACCTAATCCAACATAGAAATACCAATGAAAACGTTTCATTGATGACGTTTCCTTTCTTTGGGACTGTAACAGAAAAGTCACCCAACTTTTTATTAAAGAAACTAACAAATCCCATCCCAAAAATTAAGTCCACGGCCAAAATATGAAATAACGAAATAACTTTCCTTGATACAATAGTTTTCAAAGGAGAACATCTCACAGAGAAATCCATCTTCATTGGACATCAAATCCCACTATAAGCCGACTAAAACCTTTCAATATGTACACTTTACCTCATTCCACCCTTCGGGGGTAAAAAGAAGTTTCATTAAAGGCGAAGAAATAAAATTGATTAGAAAAAACTCCTAAAAAAAACATTTGAAGAGTGCCTTGTGAACTCAAAGCACACGAATATCCTAAACCAGATATAGAAAGGTCGTTGTCAGGGTGTCAACCTTGACTGGAGACACTGATAGGGGCTAAGACAAAAACAAAAAAAATAAAGAGAGACTATTGCCTTTCATTACAACATATAACCCAACGGCACAAGACCTTAAAAAGACGT